GTCTAAGATTTCGCCTAATTTCATCATAGCGACCACATTATTTATCGCTTATGTGTGATCTCATTGCCTTAATTTTGTATTTTTGAAAATTTTGGTAACGGATTTTAAAAACTTTAAGGCTTTTATAAAGTCATACTTTTCACTCCATATGACCAAAACCTGAATGGTCTTTAGTAAGGGTGATAAATCACTTATATCCACTGAAACTAGTAAGTGGAAACAGTTCAAAAATGTCAATAGAAGTCAATTTATAACTTTTCTACATCTGCTAATCATGATGGTATATTAGTAACAAGATTACTCTTAATGCAACCTATACATATGCTAATTTCAAAATGTCCCTAATGTCTATACCACAACATGGTAGACTTCATATCTATTCTACCAAGATTAGAGCCAACGACCAAAATATTAATAGTATGCACAATTGAAAAAGATTGCCCATGTTCATAAATAACACTGGTATCCCACCCGAAAAGCAAAAAGCATAGTATCTAGGTTGGATTCAAATGAAAAAGGCTAGCAGAATCCCTTGTTTCACTTTTCAATCCAAAAAACTTATAAATATTACCCTTTTGTGCTTGATTTATAATAAAAGTGCACTGATTTCTAAATTCCTCTAATTTCAAAGTTTAGAGGCATTTGTGGAAACGAAATCAGATGTGGGCTTCACAAAATTCTTTTTTATAAATGACCTTTAATGACACCTTTCTCAATTATGTTTCATTTGGTAGTAGTGCTGACTCATATCATCTAGAAGATAGAATGAGATTGTCGACTTATAATATCTCTTCCTCTTATATGCTTTAAACACTCATGGTTTTTAAATCTCATACTTTTTTCTATAGTTTATGGATAGATTTCACACTGTCACTCCTAGAAGGAAGTTATTCAAAAAGAAACTACCACAGTAGAAACTAGTCTCATATTTCAACATTGGTCATTTTCAGAAGGTGCTCATAAAAAATATTTACCTTATCCAATATGGTAATGATGAATGGTCTATGTGGTTCAATATTTCTTCCTTATGGAGTTCTTCGAAATTTACTCTTAATGACATCCTCAATTATTAGTGTGCAGGACATTTTACCTAATGTGTTCACTAATGGTATACCTATGCACCATTAGATAATTTTAATTAGAGTATTTTTAAGAAGTACACTATTTTTTTGTCCTCAACCAAGTTTCTAAAATTGGGGATAGAAGGTGATAAACTCTTTAGACTATTTTTGGATTCTTTATACCAAGACCATATAGAATGATTCACCACATTTACAAAATGATCCTATTAAATGATAGTTACAGAGATGAAATTAGGATTAGAGGCTTTATAGAATAACTCAAATTGATATTATACATGTGAATAGAATAATACCATAATTTTTATTCAATTAAATTAAGAATATGAAATTTTCTCGAAGTATACTATAAAGGATAATACAAAACTGGTTGGATATAATCTTGAAATGACTTGGTACTAATAGGGTAGCTAAATCACATTATACCTTAATTAAGAACCCTTTCTTCTCGAATATCTCTCAAGGAAATAATCAATTTGACAGGGAAAGTCTTTTCACCTTAAGAGACCTCAATAAGTATTGCAACTATCATAAAAGATTTGCCTTATTATTAATTAAGTTGATAGCACCTATAATTCCCAAATTTTGACCCAAATTCTATTTTGGTCCTGAAATTTTAAAAAGCTCTAATCAAATCCCTAATTGCTCAAACTTGTCCTATTTTGGTCTTTCTATCTACGAAATCGTCTAAATTGACAGCAAATACCAGTTGGCACCATGTGATAATATCAACTAGCATCTCATGTCACGGATGAGAGACCAAAATAGAATTATCTTAAAGTTTAATGACCAAATATGAAACTATATCAAAAATTTTATAAATTTCATATATTTTATAAAATATTAAATTCAAAATTATAAAAATTCAATATCATTTGAAAAACAAAAAAAAATTACTTTCTATTAAAAATATTATTTTACTCATAAATCATAACATAAATATTATTTTCTATCCACAAAATAATATTTTAAAATATTACATATCTTTTATTTCCTTTTTCAAATATATTTTATAAAAACTAAATAAAGGAAAAGATAAAATAATTCAAAAAAATTAAAATATTATAATTTAAAATATTTTTAATTTTTAATATAGTATGATTTATCAATAAAATAATAATTTTAATAGAAAATAGATTTTTAAAAAATTAAAATTAACTTGAAATTTTCAAATTAATTTTTTCAAAATTACATATCATTTTAAAAAATTAAGTAAAAATGTTATATCATTTTCAGAAATTAAATAAAAACTCTATATCATGTTAAAATATTATGTAAAAATTTTAGATCATTTTCAAAAATAGATTTATTAATCTATTCAAAAATATAAAAACTTGATATTCATAAAAAATAAAAAAATATAATTAAAACATTTTTTATTTTTTTATAAAATGTATTTTATAAAATATACTTAAAAAGCAAAAATAAATTATATTTAATATTTTAAAATAAATATTTTTTAATAGAAAATAATATGTTTTATTATGACTTATGAGTAAAATAATATTTTTAATAATTTTTTGTTTTTAAAATGTATTAAATTTAAAAAAAAAAGAATTTAAAAATTTTAACTTAATTTTAAATTTTGAATATCTATTTTCTATTTAAAACAAAATTCTATCTAATAAATTATATTATAACAAAAAATATGTAAATATAATTATAAATTTAATATTTTTATAATACATGTATGAAATATATAAAATTTTGATATTGTTTTATCTTTGGTCCCTAAACTTTGAGAAATTTCTATTTTGGTTCCTTATCTGTCAAGTAAGATACTAGCTGGTGTCATCACGTAATGTCAGTTGGCATTTGCCGTCAATTTAGACAGTTCTATCGATGAAAAAACCAAAAAGGATAACTTTAAGTAATTAATTATTCAATTTTAACTTTTTAAAGTTTATGGACCAAAGTAGAATTTGGATCAAAGTTTAAGGATTACGGATACTATTAACCTTTATTAATTCAAAATAAATTATCAAAAAAATCTTAAAATATGTTCACGATTACTTCTACGATAGGCTGACTCTAATTAATCCTATTAGTGATTGTGTAATTTAAGAATATTCACAAACTTATTAGACCAAAATTGAATATAACTTAAATATATTATATCCATATGCATATTTATAAAATTAAGTATTCCAAAATCAATTAATTTGACTTAAAATGAATATTCAAATAATAAGATACTTCTATTAATTAAATGGGTTTTTACGAAATCAAATTAATTATTAACAGATTTCGTAAATTTTAATTTATGAAATTGGGTTAACCATTTTAACCAAATAATTTATTTAGAACCCAAGGCCTAATATCTTATCAAATGGAGTTATTAATTTTGGACTCAACGGATTTTATCAAAATTTTTAACTAAAATGGCCTTAAGCAAAATGACCAAAATTAATTAAATTGGGCCTAAATATAATTTGAAAAAAAATTGATTTGACCAAAAATTTAATTTCAACAAAATAACCCAACCCTAAATGGTCCAAATGAAATTAAAATTAAAATTGAACTTAATTTAATTTAATGTAATTTAAAACAAAATATATACATTGTCCAATTTAATTAACATAATGGTCAAACATTTAATTTAAAAGAATTGGCCCAAATAAATTAAACCAAATGGCCAAATTTAAAATAGGCCGAACAAGAATAGCCTAATTACTCTTTAAAATAAACGGCCCAAACAAAACGAACCAAAACTGGCCCAAATTTACCTTTGGTTTCAGGCCTGGCATGTTTGTTACACTCTTTGATGGTGTGTTTGGCATGTGTGTACACGTGCTAAAAGGGCTACGTTAGGGGTGTGCAACCACACACACGCGCACACTCACACGCACACGCACACGCACACGCGCACACACACACACACACACCCTATTTCCGGTTTTTTGAACCAACTTGATCCAGTTCATCCAAAACTCACAGTTTCCATACCGTTTGCTACAAAAAATGTCGGCTTTCAACCATCTTCAAGCTCCAAAACTACAATTTGGAGCCCAAAAAACTGCATGGGTTTAAAAAATCCAAAAACCTCAAACTCATTTGGGATTCAGTCGGCAATACAACACCAAATAGAAGAGGTTAGTGACTTCCATTATGAGTATAACTTGATACGAATTGTTGGATTTGATCCAAAAACTCACAAGGTCGTTAAAATAATTTATTTTAAATTAAAATTAACTTAGATATTGGTGAGAGTTCAATCCCACTTAACCGAGATCCACTGATGCATTTCCCCCATCACAAGCTTTTCGATATCGCCTTCCAGACTCGAATCGAAACACTTGCATGAAAAAAGAGAGAAAATTGCTTTTTATCTTCAAAAATTAAAGTTATAAAACCTAATGTACTGGCTTCATATATATATATATATATATATAGTTTAATTTTATATTTAAACACATATATATAATATAAGTGAAAGTAAAACTCTCCTTAATATACTAGTCAAAATTAACTCATCCTATTATGTGTTTAAATATAAAATTAAACTAAGATCACACTTAATTAAAATCATATTACGTGTTTGAATATATTATAATTTAATACCACTATAATTTTTTAATAATTTGACGTTTATTATCCTAAATCCAAATTAATTAACTGTGTTAATCCACAATATGAGAAAAATGCAACATTGATTATATTTATGCAAAATAATTTGTTATGAATTACAAACCTTAAACTTAGATCTTATATTGTTTAAGCAATTATAACAGCCCTTATATACACAAAAAAAAAAAAAAAAAATCCTTTAAGGGGCCGGTAAAGCAAATTGAATACGTTTTCCTATATGAACTTGGCTTAAAAAATTTTTGAATACATTTTTCACTAGAATCAACCGGTTTAAGATTTTAGATTTTTTTTTTTTGTCCACCATTGATTCATGAACAATCCGTGCAAAATCCATTAATTTATTTTTAATTTTAATACTGAAGTCCAATATTTTGCTTTGTAGCCATGTCTCGTTCAATTAAAAATTACAGTTTTTGCTTTATGATTGACATTAATTTGGACAATTCTTCCATGTTAATCCTAATGTCTTCAATTGTTTTTATATCAAGAAAAGGATGACCTTCCAAAATGACTGATGCGTGCGTCACGCCTAGCACCGTGCAAGTAAGGGGTATTAATCTCATATCCTATAAGAAAAAAAAAATATTGGACATGTAAGTATTGATACTGCACACCCTAATAAATTGATTCTGCAAGATGCGAATAATAATCATGTTACAAGTGATATCGAAATGAACTATTGACTCATTCAACTCGATGCTAAGTACTCCAATAGGAATAGTCAGAATGAGCCAATCTGACCACTTATTAAGATGCTGAGATAAATATGATAGTAAAATCTAACCATGCCAAATGCTTCAAAAAGAAATCGACAAAGTAATAGTTATATAAAGGATGTCATGAGACTGAATGAGAAATAATGTCACATCTAGCATCTTCAAAAAATCTATAAAACGCATTAATTCTACATTGGATAAAAAATATTCACTTAATATATAAGCATTAAAAAATTATTTAATATATAAGTATTAACATTGCACATCCCAATTAAAAAATTTTAATAGCCAAGCAGCTGCAACAGATCACATCACGAAAGATCCATTACCAACAAACCAAACTATAACAAGACATCTCTAAATGGAAACATATTAGATCTGATATAACCCATATAAATTTAATACCACAACACATCCATTAAGCAATAAACCAAACAGCTAAAATTCAAATGAGTTTCAGATATCATCTAAAAGCCAAATGGCCAACAAACGCAAACAACTCCATTAAAGACCAAATAGACTTCACTGGTTAACCAGATTCCAGGATTTAAAACTTAGAAACCACCATAAAGATGAACGCCAAGACATAAATGGAAACATATTAGATCTAGTATAACCCATTACAAGTTTAATACCACAACACAACCATTAAGCAATAAACCAAACAGCTAAATCCAAATGAGTTTCAGATATCACCTAAAACCCAAATGGCCAACAAACACAAACAACTCCATAAAAGACCAAACAGCCTTAACTGGTTAACCAGATTCCAGGATTTAAAACTTACAAACCACCACGAAGACGAAGGACAAGATGCAGAGTAGACTCCTTCTGGATGTTATAATCTGCAAGAGTTCTCCCATCCTCCAGCTGCTTCCCAGCAAAAATTAACCTCTGCTGGTCAGGTGGGATCCCCTCCTTGTCCTGAATCTTTGCCTTCACATTGTCAATGGTGTCTGAACTTTCAACCTCCAAAGTGATAGTCTTTCCAGTCAGAGTCTTCACAAAGATCTGCATACCACCACGAAGGCGGAGAACCAAATGGAGAGTTGACTCCTTCTGAATATTATAATCAGCAAGAGTCCTTCCATCTTCAAGCTGTTTTCCAGCAAAAATCAATCTCTGCTGGTCTGGTGGGATACCCTCTTTGTCCTGAATTTTGGCTTTGACATTATCAATGGTATCTGAACTCTCAACCTCCAAGGTAATTGTTTTTCCAGTGAGAGTCTTGACAAAGATTTGCATGCCACCTCGAAGACGAAGGACCAGGTGAAGGGTGGACTCCTTCTGGATGTTGTAGTCAGCTAGGGTGCGGCCATCTTCAAGTTGCTTTCCAGCAAAAATAAGCCTTTGCTGGTCTGGTGGGATCCCTTCTTTGTCTTGGATTTTCGCCTTCACATTGTCAATGGTATCAGAACTCTCAACCTCAAGAGTAATAGTCTTGCCAGTAAGGGTTTTGACAAAGATTTGCATGCCACCTCGAAGACGAAGCACCAGGTGAAGTGTGGACTCCTTCTGGATGTTATAGTCTGCCAGTGTACGACCATCTTCAAGCTGTTTGCCAGCAAAGATAAGCCTCTGTTGGTCTGGAGGGATTCCTTCCTTGTCTTGGATCTTAGCCTTGACATTATCAATGGTGTCAGAGCTTTCCACCTCCAAGGTAATTGTCTTTCCAGTGAGAGTCTTGACGAATATTTGCATACCACCACGAAGTCGAAGAACCAAATGGAGGGTGGATTCCTTCTGGATGTTGTAGTCAGCTAGCGTGCGACCATCTTCAAGTTGTTTGCCAGCAAAGATAAGCCTTTGCTGGTCTGGTGGGATCCCTTCCTTATCCTGGATCTTGGCCTTCACATTGTCGATGGTGTCAGAACTCTCCACCTCAAGGGTGATTGTCTTGCCAGTGAGGGTTTTGACAAAGATTTGCATCTATTATATCAAAGGATCAGCAACAGATCATAATCTCAAGAATTTAAAAAATTAGCTGAAAAGTTAAACAAAGTGGTAACCCATGGTTCTTCACGAAGATTTGCATCTATTAACTGAAATATCAGCAATATATTAGAATCTCAAAATATCAAAACTTAGCTGAAAAATCAAAGTGATAACCCATAAATCATTAATTACTGTCCAACAATAGATTAGTAGATAATAAGGACTTTAATATTTAGGATGACAACAGGCATTAAATTTTCAAAGAAAGAAAAAACAGAAGAGAAGAGAAGAATAAAGCCTAGAACAAATCAAAGCTTATATTTTAACAATTTAAAAATAAAATCTGAAAGAAAACAAAAAAAATTCTCATTTCAAATTAAAAAAAAAATCAAGAAAATTTAAAAGTTACAAATCAAGCAGAAAGAGTAGATCAAAAGTCTAAACAAATATAACGTGCACAAATACGGAATAAATCAATTACAATTAACAATTTACAAGAACCCAAATCTACAAATCAAAAAAATTTTACATATTTGCAACTGAATTTCGATAAAAAAAGATGATATATCAAAAGCTTCCAACAATAATTTATATCTATACTTTTCAGGTAACAGATTCAAGATAATACGATTAACAAACAAGATTCGATTAATTAAACGAAGAAACAAGGTAATTCATAATACATAAAAACAATCAAAACATTGATTGCTACGGCAAGATCAATCAAAACTCAAAATAATTATAACAGAAAATTGAACTCGAGAAACAATTAATTTGATTACCTTTAAAAGAGAATTTGGAAGAAGCTTCGATGCGTTGAAAATGGAGTTGTTTGCCGAACTAGATGCAAGGAGGCTAGAGTTAGCAGATATAATAAGCATCTTTTATAGATGGGATTTGTCGATACACCCAATAAGATAACCAATCAGCTCATGCCAAGTATATTTCGATTCCGTGTATATCGTAGCGTAAACGCGAGATGGGTTTTCTTGACGTATAAAATAAAATAGAGGAAATAAAAATAGCAAAAGCTAAAAATTTGACATCTTTAAAGGATTAAAATTTTGGTAAAAAACAAAAAAAAAACTAAAATTAGGCACTTTTAAAATTTCAACAAATACTGAAAATTTTATTTGTTAAAACGGCCAGAAGTTCTTTAGTTTTATCAAATATATATATATATATACTTTTTTTTTCTAAATTAACGTAAGTAAATTTATTTATATCGAATTTAATAAATTTATAATAAATTATATTTTGAGGACTTCTATTTACACCTTTTTTTTTATTCCATGCACCACATTATTAAATATATTTCAAATTCAAAATTAAATTTTTTATTTTTATTAAATACACTCTGCCCTCACTTTTTATTTTCTTTTTCTACCATTTCACTCCTTCATTCTCTTTTTTTCTTTCTTCTCTCCATCAAATTAACATCAAAATCACTTGTGTTTTTTAGTTTTTCACTTATTAAAGGTAAGATTTCTAATTTTTTTTTATTGATTTCGTTGAAATTTGATTGAAATGCATGTGAATATAGGTTTTCCTATGCAATGAGGATCAATCCCATATGCAAGTAGGATCGATCTTGTCTAAACTCGAGAGTTTACATGTTTTTAACAAGAAAGAAATTAAACTTTTTGTCTAATGTAAATTTTTATTTACGAAAGTTTGTTAAATATATTCTATAAGATTAATAAGTTGTTTTTTTATTACATATATAGCTCATACACGAGGAAGAGTTATTCCTACCCAAGGCAAAGTACTAAAATTGATCTCAATCCAAGATGAAGGATTTTAACTGCTTCTGAAATGAGACAACAAGTATATGAGGGCAAGCCGAAGGATTGTACAATACATGATGTTCTTTAGGTTAAGCCTTCCACTACGAGTGAGCAGTAAGTGAAGTCCTTTCTTGGAGGTCCGATTGATACCTTTATTATATTGAGTTTTCGTTCTCATGTTGTAGTCTAAATTTTAAATGGCCAAGTAATCACTCGAATCATATAATATGAATTGTGTTTGTTTATGTCTTTAAAGTACCTTGGTCTTAGTTGTTGTTGATGTTATTGTTTATGTTGTTGATATTAGTGATATTGGTGATGTTATTGTTGTTATTGTTGTTATTGTTATTATTGTTATTGTTATTGTTATTGTTATTGTGATGTTATTGTTATTGTTGTTATTATTGTTATTATTATTATTGCAGGACTGAGATAACCATTGACCGAAGTTACAATAGTGACATCTAGATGATGCATACAGCAAGATCCAAGCCTATGTTGTTTAGTTGAGGTTGTTGTCACTCATCGACTACACTTATCATACCATCAATAACACATTAGTGTTAGCTTTTGTTGAGAGGTGGCATCCAAAGACCAAAACCTTTCATATGTCATTTAATGAGATGATAATCACACTGGACTATGTGTTTACCTTTCTACACAGATCGATCACTAGGATCATGGTTTCAATTAATCATTTGACGATGGTTGAGGCAAACACAATACTAATGAATTTGCTTAGAGTTTTTTACAAGGAGGTTAGAGTAGAGACAGATTGGACAAAAGGATCTTTTGTTAAACTTCATTGGTTGTGGGTTTCCTTAAGCCATGTCACTGATGCATCGAATGATGAAGTGATTGTTTGTGCATCCTAAGCTTTTTTACTATATTTGCTAGGGTGTACGTTATTCAATGACAAGATCGCGATGAAAGTCTCGATAGCATACTTACCGTTACTAACCGACCTCACTGTCGCGGGCACTATGCTTGGAGGACAACTTACCTTACTTGTATAGGTAACTTGGCATTACTAGTAGGGCAAACGTACATCAGATTGTTGGATATCTTATACTTCTCTAAGAATGTATTTATAATTAGTCAAAAACATATTATAATTATTTGATGTATTTATTATTAGTAATATATGCGATTATCTAATTAAATGTTATTTATATATTTCATGTAGGTATGGATTTACAAACACTTTCCATTGTTGGGCCTAGTTGCCATTTTAACTTACTCAGCCACTCTACTTCGTGCTCAATAATGGAAGGTTCGCACTTATGTTAATACATTGCAAGCCTTATGGGAGTGCTTGGATGGGTAGACAGTATCCAACATATGCCGGTAGCCATACATCAATGGACAAGAAGCATATCCATTGCCCAATATTGTATTTCAGTGGATGTATCCAGTGCAGGACAATCGTAGAGCCGTATCTTTTAGAGAACATTCTATGATAGTTCAACTTTGTACAAACTATTCCTCCCAAATTGTTGGCCTCGTTTCGTGTTTGATCGAGGAGCATCATCTAACCAATACAATGTTGCATATAACTTCCTGCACTAGAATTAGGATAGATGAGATATACACATTGTGTTAGTTGAGCATTAAGGCCAAAGATGTCAAACATCGAGAGAATGTTAATCCGAATATGATGCCTGGTACGCATCGATTTTACACCTTAAAATTCAAAATCTAGAGCATCAATCCAGATTCCAAACTTAGCCATTAAATACTACACATACCACTGATTTAGTAAGTTATAAATTTTATCATTTTAAGGTGTTTTATTAATTGATTAATTTTAATTATATGATATCAATACTGATAACTTTATTAATATTTTTATAACGAAGCTTAGCTGCTTTATCTTTCGTTAATCATATCTTGGTTGACAGATTTGGTCAAAGTATTGATTAATGAATAGATGCATTTATCTGAGTACAAGCCATATTAGACAGGTCTGACCATACTGTTGCAAGTAGTAGCAGTCATTCTAGACTAGCATCAACTCCTGCACCATCAGTTCATGCATTTAGACTGCCTAGACCAGCCAACCCATTTGTGCCCACTCCATCCATAATCCTATTGACACTAACACTTTCAAGCCTATTCGTGCTTACTCTATCTCCAATCCCATCAACATCAATACCTTCTAATCTGCTCATGCCCACACAATCCTCACCATCACTAACACTGACCATAGCACCATCATTGCTCGATTCTCCCTCTATGAAGACAACAGTATCGATCCTACCAAAGACTTCTACACAAATAGTAGAGCCCACTCCTCTACCACATATATATCTTCGAGTTAAGAGGTTGAATGATAGGGATTGATGTATTTATTACTATGTATTGAGATTGATTTTATATTTAGTTAATTATATTTATATAGTGATTTTAAATTTAGTTCATTTTGTTGATATTTAGTTTATATTTATAAAATATTCATTAGAATATTATCTATTCAATATGACACATCCCATTACAGAACATGTTGAAAATAATAATCATCCATTAGATAACATATTCAATGTATAAAGCATAAACAAATATAAACCATAAAAATAAATATAAACTATTTACAATTATTAAAAAAATAATAATCAATGTCTACTGTTTCTTGAATGGATGATTAGTGATAATTTTGCAAGCGTATAGGTCGTTCAAGTAATAATAGAGTCTATAAAAGTCCAGATATCGATCCCACTAGGATTAGCTAAAAAATTTTAATTTAAGTACCTATCATCACCCTACTCTTCTAAAGTTAGTTCGATCAAAGAATCAACATAAAACTAAACTAACTAAAAAAATAATAAAATCAACCAATATGTAAAAATGCACGAAAATTCAGTAAACAGTAAATGTAAAACAATTGAATTTTAAACAAATCCTAAAATGCAAAAATAAATACTAAATAAAATAAAATGCACAATTGAAAATCAAGCATGAAATGTAATTACAAAATTCATGCCTACATCCGAAAATGATCATAACTAGATTTAACGCCTAACATGACATGGAATGAAATCTAAAAAAATAATTGCAAAGTTTTTTGAACATGAACTAGAGTCTAAACAACCATTAAACACCCTATATAAAGACATGATCTAAAAAAATTGAATAAACTAAAGCTAAAGAAAAGTAAATCGAACAGAAATTACAAACCAAAAACATCTAAGTAATGAACAAATGTAGAAATACAGCAATGAATACAAGCTATAAACTGCTTTTTATTTTACTCTTATTGTTGAACAAATGAAACTTTAAGTAGGTTAAATGAAGAACTAAATAAAAGACTAAATATGAGTTTAAATTGTAAAACCAAAGTTGAAGAGAAGATTTATCAAACAATGAACAAAATTGTAAACTAAAACTATCATGAACAATAGCAATGCATGATATTGCCAAAGAATAAAATTCAACCTACAATTTTAAAATGAAAATGGACTACATCTATACTAGAACAACTAGGTCTATGAGTTAACTACCTAAAGCAACAAAAAAATAGTATGAACAACAAAGAAATCAGCTTAACACATTCAAATTCAAAAACAATATATAATCTAGAAAAATAGCATATGTTCAACAAAAATTAACCAAATAGCACTTAAAAGTATAAAATAAATTGTACAAAATGAAAATTAACAAGGTAACTCATAAAACTCAAGATGTAAGGAAGAAAAAAATGCAAACAAATCGTCAAAATGGAAAGAAGTCCATGCCTAACTTGATAGATCAAAATTGGAATTGCATTGTCACTACATCCAACTGAATCTTTCAAGCTTGATTTGGAATGTTGTAATGCAAGTTTCAAGCTAATTTTTTTAATATGTTGTAGCTAATTGAATTAGTAAACTATGAAAAAAATTGAGCAATAACAAGTAAGATTTGAATGAGATATCATCCAAAAATCGTAGGCATGTCAAAACTAGCAAATTCAAAAACAGATTTGAATATCGACAAGAAATCAGTAGCTTTAAGCTAGAAAACAAATTCAAATGTAAATTTTATTGAAAGATTCTGAAAGAACACTTAAAAACACTAAAAAAAAAAAAGATTACAATGAAATTTAAAGGGAAAATGCGAGAAATAATTTTGTTTG